TGAATTACTCAAGGAGAGGTCAACACTGGCTTCTGGAGACCTCTTCTGAAACAACGGTGTCAAAAGGGAGAATGGATGGAAAACAAACTTTAATTCTGGAGCGAACCACAGGAGAAAGAAGAGAGGAAAATAAAAGCTACAGGCACTATAACCCAAAGTACATAAAACTTTTAATGAATTAACTTTACAAAAGACAAATGGCATCAAAACATCAGACGAGTTTGGTACAAAACTGGTCCTAGGCTATGAGGACTAAGTCTGGTGATGATGGCAACGTGCTGCTGGCATGGGACACAACAGAGCAAGGGACAAGCACCACAGGTCCCAGCGGGGACCCGTGGATGGCCACCGGCAATGAGATACAGGGGTGAGCACAGACTCCACGTGGGGTGACAGAATGAACTTTTTCACAAATACTGTGTGTTTGAATATCAGACTAGCGGATGCGGTTGGCGAGCTACCATATTTTCTGGAAAAGAACATGCACCAGAAGATAATATACACCCCCTAGTTTTATTGCCTTAAGAATTTTTATTTGTTTCACCTCTCTCCTCTTCCTTAGTTCTCTGAATGCTTTTCCTGTATAATGCGCGCTCCTTTTTTTCTTTTGCTTAGGAGTAAACACAGTGCAAGTGGCAGAACAATCTGGGCACACGTCAGACACCACACGGTGATGCCACCGGGTCACAGGAACTAGTCTGCAACGGCTCCATGGGACAGAACAGAGCACGCACATCAAAAACGAGGGGCGAAAGTTGCAGTCAGAAAGTCTGTGGTACCTTCCCGAAAATACAGTCTTCCCAAAATGAGCGTGACTCTTCAGGACGCCACATTGCTCTGGGATAGGGACCTTGACATTTCTGTGTTTACAAAGTACGTCTTCAGGTCCCCCTTTCCTTTCACATTGATTATTCCTCGACATGTGCATGTGTATCCTAGCGTCTGCAGGATGAGGCTTGTTTCCTCAGTCACCTATAATAAGCCGCAAGAACAAATGAAAAAGTTTCAGTGCCTAATTTAACACACCCCATCTGACTACAGGATAAGGAGCAAAAAAGCTTCCTGCTCTTTGACCCAGCAATTCCGCTCCTCAGGGGCAGTCAGAATTAGAAAACTCTTCAGGTATTTGACTTGAGACCATCCACCCAGAGAACAAACAAATCTTTCGGTGCTTTGGCAGTTAATTCTTCAATTGAGGCACTTACTGATGCTACCAACATCCTTTAACATCCCTTGGTATTTGTCACACCAAACCACCCACCAACCGATCAGCACCCCAAGTTGAAGGTGAAGCAGGAAGGGTGAAGTGGTCCATCCACTCTGATGAACAGCAGCTAGGATGCCTCCAGGTCCACGGGAGCCTGGCTGCATTGCTGAGTGG